ACCTTCACCCATTGCAAACTTGACTCATTGTCTATCACAGACGGCAAGATCGTAGTAAGCACTATGGGAAGGCTAGTCCATTCCAGCATTCAATCTACCTTTTGAGAGCTGGACATGATCACCCCGACGGTACATTTTCGGGATCATCGCCGAGACGGTGGGGCACTCGCAACGTCTCTTCATCATCTACACCGGACTGCAGATATCCAAATTTAAGCAGGACGAATGCTAGTACATACTTATGTTACTGGTCATGGGAATTGGATCAATCAGATTTGTGATGGCATTAGAATTATAGGCTGTCGGCATAACATCCGGATTGAGTTTACTTATCGGAAGCACTATTATATATATATATATATAGATTTTGTCGGAGGTGGGTAAGGTTTTACAGTGGGTATACAGACTTCTTCGATTAGTACCGTGCTTGAAATCAACGTTGCCCGACGAGACCTGGAAGGCGCTTAAGACTTGGTGCTAAGCAGCGTCATGGTGAAGAGAGCAAGCAGTGAATCCTCTTTCTTCTTTCTCCGCACCCCACATTCCATACCACCACCTCGACATGGTGGACCTGAACCAGTTCAAACCAGTGAGCAGTGAATCCCGGACACTTGACATTTGAGCATTCAACAAAGCCTAAAACCAGGGCGAGCGGATCATGTTAACAAGCCATGGCTAGAACGGCGGCCTAGCTCCCACCGTTTCATGCTATACAAAATCCCTTGAGATGCTACTCCCTTTCCCCTTTCCAAATTTTCCCTTCCATTTTTCCCCTTTTGGACCGTGGTACAAGAAGAAAGAAAGAAAGAAAGAAAAAGATCGTTACACATACAACCCCCTAAGCCCTTAATCATCCTTCATATTGTCTTCATTGTCGTCGTCGTCGTCATCTTCGTCCTCGCCGAATTCAACCCCATACTCGGCACACACGTCCCATCGGTCGCCCTTAGCGCTCTTGCTCACATACTTTGTAAAGCGCAGTACACCTCGGTCACGCAGCACGATAGCCATGTTGTTCCACGCTGCGGGCTGGCTGAACAAGATACCGTCGTCTTCATCATCGCCAGCGGATTTGTAGATGGCGGGATCGGCTTTTGCTTTTCGGCGCTGGCCGGCGCCGGTCGAGGTTGAGCCTTCCGAGGTTGAGGGCACAGCATGTTCAGAATCGTCTTCGCCGGCCATGTACATTTCGTAGCCGCCGACTTCTTCCTCCGGTTTGGGTTGCTCGGCTGCTTTCTCCTTGTTGCTGGCCTTGTTCTTCTTCTTGCTCGACCTGCCTTTTTGCGAGGCTTCCTCCGAGGCAGCCGCCTCGGGCTCTTCATCTTCATCGCCCCAACCGCGCGAAGGTGTGATGCCAAGGCAGACTTCAAGCTGCGGGTCTTCCTCCTCGTACGCGGTTGCCAGCGTGTAGTCTAGACCGCGACGGAAACGGCGTGCAAAGATGTTGCTCTTTGTTAGTGTGATACCTGTTACGAGCGAGATCCACTTCATAAAAGCAGGATGAGGGAAGAGGATATCTACAAGGTCGTCGTAGGGTGTCATACCGTCGTTCTCAGGGTACGGTGTCGTTGGTATGGGTTGGACGGCCTTACGGTAAAGGAAGCGGTGCTTGTGTGGTGGGCGTGCGACTCCAACTATCGACTCCTTGTGATGTGGGTTGGTGGGAAGGCTAGGCACCGCCTCATGGTCCTTGGACTCAAGGTACTCTCGTAACCGTGCAGAGAACTTGTTTGACAGGAATTGCGCAAGCCGTAAAGACGACTCATCAGAAAACATCTTCGAGAGCTCCTCCACGGTATCTGGAACGAGATAGTTTGGGTTGATGAACTTGATGAGGAAGTCAATTTCATCCTCTGTGAGCTCATCGTCTTCCTGCTTTGCTTGCTCTTCCCAGTATGGGTTCTCGACCCAATGTGATTGTGGCTCATCAAAGACGTCGGCCTTTCCTCCTTGAAGTTGAGCGAGCGAACTCTTCTCGGCCAACTTTTCTTCAAGACCCTCCTCATACCCCTCTTCTCCTTCTTGTGGAATGTGGAACCAACCACTAATGGCCATGCGGATGCGCCCACCATCCTCTTCTGCCTTCTCCTCTACACTCCTCCTGTATACTTCCTCGACATCGTGGAAGCTCTCGCCAGGTTGTACCGTGAAGAAGGAGAGTTGGTTCCACGCAGGTGGAATTGATAAAGAGAAATCCGGTTGCGGTACCTTGACCTTGTCCCCCTCTGGCGTCTCAAGTTCCTCGGTTGGGTACAGCCGCAGTGCACCTCCCCACTCGGCCTTCCATTCAATATCAGGGTCGAGTAAGTATAGAATCCAGCTTACGCGGCGGCTTCCAATGACGTCGTCGTGGCATAGCAAATGACATCCTGGTGTGTAAACGTTCTGTCACCGGATCAGCATCATATCTTTTAAACCTCATTTTGCGCAACCTACCACAGCCATGTCTGTCTTAACACCGCTCAAGGGCCCGGACCCTGTTATCGAAGATAGGTACTTGCGGAACGCGGATGAATAGAGCGAATCGCGGAGAGTAAGAAGCGACGGCAAGCGCTTGAGCGCCGAGTCGTGAAGGCCGTCGAGATTGGCAAGATCACCAGATTGGTGAATCTTGTAGATGTCCGTCTCTTTGGGCGTAAAGTGGATATGCTCGCGGATTTCGTTGCGGACATTGCGCAGGAGCGTTTCGTTAACCAGGTTCTGAATGACGGCGTGCTTGTAGCTGTGGATCTTGTCAGAAAGGACTGAGTGCAGGTTGCAGCGTTCATGCGTACGGCTGCGATTGGGCGTATTTGTTGGCGTATGTCTCGAGCACTTTGCTGTCAAAGAGACCGTCGCGGAAGTTCTTATGCGCCTCATCGTCTGAGATGGCCCTTTTCTTCTTGGCCATGCCGTTGGCAGGCGCCTCGTTCTTGCGCTTGCCCATTACGACTGCAGCGGCGGGCTTCAAACGGGCAGTATGGGGCAATCAAGCTGTGTTGTGGAGGTAATGGAAAGAGGAAGCTCGTTGATGATAAATTTGGTCGGCATAAGCTTTTTGAGAATCGCCGAAGCCATGCCATCGCCCTCACACCACAGTCGATCCACCTAACCCTGTCCGGCCACCGGGCGAAGATTGTTGCCCTGGGTGGCTGTCTTCCCCTCAAGTTCACCGATGACGACTGCACCAGCCAAGCGCCGGACGGTGGCTGCAGGGCGGCCATGAAAGTTTCACGGCTGCGTTGTTGCGGAGAGCCAGGTGCTCCGGTTGGCTGGCACCATGCTTCCGCCGACGGCAACCCATCGATACTAGCTCCCAACACACAAACTCTCGCTTCAATACGATATCTCTTCACTTCCTCACGGCCTGGATCTGCACACGCACGCAACGTGTTCCTCTGCATTGGCCACACAGGACACTGCTATCTACACGTAGTGGGTATATGAACATGATCGACGTCGCGTGATCGGGTATGCGAACCGAGCTGCCAAGACGTATGCGTATGTCTACTATGTGGCTGACCATTTCAAGACATGGCTCTCCAAACGTCTACCGCGTCACAGCTTACTGCTCATGGTCTGCTGAAAGTAGCTTAGCCATCTTTTCCTCCAGCATCTTGACGTCGTCCCCGACCGTCTTGATGTTGTTCACCATGGCTGTCTCTGCCCTTTTGATGTCCTTCTCCAAAATCTCGAGTTGCTGCTCCCACTTTTTGATTTCTAGTTCCTGCGCCGATTGGCGACGTTCAAGCTCGGTCAAGACCTCGTCAGCCTGCCAAGCACTCGTGTGTACGAGTCGCAGTGTGCGCAGCCGCTCAAGGACTAGCGGTAGGATGGGCGATAGCTTGTCAATAGAAGGCAAAGTGCCATACAAGGCGTTGATCTTCGCTTCCTGGTCAGGGTACGCACCTGAGCTGTTATCGTTTGAGCCCGCACCAGCTTCTGCCGCCTCCTCGCGAACTTCCTTCAAGTGCTCTGCTTCGGCCGTAAGCTTCTTGACATTTTGCGTGACCGTGTCCAGGTTGTTTGATGCAGCATCTCCAATCAGACCCATAGTCTGTTCCAGCCGCGTAAGAGTGGCCGATACGGGAAAGGGCGTGTGATCGCTCAACTCGGGCATTGTGTTTCCATTCAGTCCCAGACTGCCCTCGAGCTGCGTAATGCGCTTATCAAACTCGGCTGCCTGGTTCAACACAAAGTCCAATTGGCTTCTTTGTACCTGTGTGCCTGGTAGTGGTGGCTGGTTGGCAATGGCCTTGGTGAGCTTGGGACTGGGATCAAAGGGCTTGTAGCTGTCGAATTTCTGCACTGTGCGGTCGAGTATCGCCTGTGCGCCTCGAGCGCCACCTTTATGTGCAGCGTAAATTGTGTCGACCTTGCTCGCTATCATCTCCATCATTTCCTTGGGATCTTGCTCCTCAATCTTGGACTTGTCCCCGCTCTCAATGTTCTGTTCGTATTCATCTTCTAGCGCGGCCAACTCTCGCTTGATCCTTAATAGCTTTTGTGCAAAGCTTTCCTCCTCTTCGTCACTGGCATCGCCTATTATCTCGCCCCGCCGCCGCTGGCGCCGTGTAGATGTGCGATAGGATTGGCGCTGCGCGGTGACATTGTCCGAAAAATCAACCCCGCGGGCGTCTACTCGAGCAGGCTGAAAACGATTGCGAGCCTGATCAGGTTGCAAGCGCTGATGACGGACTGCCGAGTCACCATTGTCGTCGTCATCGCCGTAGTCTGATTCGGAAACAGCGGTGGAAGCTTGTACTGTAGACACGTCTTCGGTAAGCTCTGGCGTCTCGTAGATATCAGGTGCTGTGTCAATGCCTGGGAGATTGTCGTATTTCGGCCTCGTCGCTTCAGACATTGTGAACTGGAGAGGCGGGGTTGGCTAGCTGGCCGAACGTCAGGGTTTACGCCTATTGAGGGACGCGTTCGCTGGGACCGTCGCGACTTGTACACTAGGCCGCAAATGGTTTAGTCGGGGATTGTTGGCTTCATTCAAGAGCACAGCTAGGTCGGGATATGTTATGGCTTGGTGAATTGGCATTTTCGTGCGTTTGTGTCATCAACATGTAAATTACCAAGTCCTACTTTTGTGGTGCAGTACATTGTCTGGCCATTTCAACGCATTCTCCGCAACTTTGTACATAAGCATGCTTTGTATCAGACAATGACGGGCAAATGCTGGATTGTATATGTCATGTTACAATTGTAGCCTGCTTTCTCATCTGTTCTATGCTTGAACCTTGAACGTACGACCGCTGGCCGTCTTGCGCTCCTTCTCTTCTACCTCGGGCCGAGCTCTGCGGAGAACTAGACAAGTCAATAAACAAGCTTACAAAGAGCATATCTGTGGAAGCGTACCTTGGAGGAAGTCGGCAGTCCTCTTGCGCATTCTTGAATGAATAAAAGCCTTGGAGGCCTTGATGTGGTAGTGGAAGTAGTCACGGAACGTCTGGATGTGTGAGATGACATCGGCTCGTCGTTGGTTTGTGAGATGGCGAGGGAAAAGCACTGCACTGGTCAGCCACACACACAGTCATACACAGTCCACTGCATGTCTGCTCACCAAAGGTAATATAGCCAATATCAGCAGATCCGGATGTGTCGACTCCGGGAATGCCTTGTAGCTCAAGAGGTGGGTCATTCCTGAACAGCACTTGAGGAGCGTTTTGGATAGCCCTTCGCCTGGCATCGACAAACTCTTGAAGGAAAACCTTTCCAAATATCCTATCCGTCTCTTCCCGGAACACGGTTGAGAAAATAACAGTCACACGGTCGTGGCTAGCCTTGACGTATATGGCTTCCTCTTCTCGGTAGTGGATGGCGCGTACATCACCGCCCTCTGCCACACCTTGGGGCGCCGACTCGGATGTGTACTTGGAGGCTTCCTCTTGGAGCTGGTGGAACTCGTCGAAAGCCTGTTCGAAGGGTGCAGCCATGGCGTTTCGCTTGAGGAGGGCTACGCGGCGGACCAGGTCATCCTTGGCCTCTGTATACCATCAGCACTTTTCTTCGTCGACACACAATTATGCGCACCTTGGTCCTCTGGCAAATTCTCCAAATCTACTAGGACAGAGAAGTCATATCCAGACTCTGGCTCAACAATGAACGGCCCATACTCGCGCTCGAGGACAGCCTGTGCACCGTATTGGACGAGTTCCTTGAAGCATTTGATGTGCAGCGACACCAGGATCTTGGTCTTGGTCTCTGGGGTTGAGATGTGGAAGGTGACGCCGTCAAAGTCGGAGACGACCTGGTCAATGTTGGCGGGAGCTCCTCTGTGTGCTGTTAGCTACTTGGCGGCGGAGCGGGAGGTTGCGGGGCACGACGGACCCATTGACGCGGTCCCTCAGTAGGGACTCAATGAGAACGTTCTGATAGTCAAGAAGAAGCATTGTGGGTGTTGTAGCTTCTCCGCGGGGTGAGGAAGGGGGTAATGTCGGGCGGGGAGCTCTCGAGTCGGGCGGTGATGCGGAGGACGGAGGTGTGCTGTGGTGATGCTGGAGGGTGGGCCTAGCGCCAGTCGTGGGGTCAGGCCCTTGTCTAAAAAGTTTCCAGAAATATGCGACCTTGCATCTCGACAACCTACAGCCGCGCACAGTCTCACATGTCCTGCAAGAAGCGCAATGAGTTGGAGTCGTCAAACTTGAGCACCTTGGCATAAGTTTTTTTCACGCATCGTGGAATTGATTGACGATAAGAGCGCAACATGGTCAAATCCTACAGGTAATGCGCGCTGGCGGCGCAGCCCATGCAAAGCTTCTGCTGACCTTCACACAGCAAGTATGAGCAGACGGACGCTTTCGGCGTGGTCGCGACTGCTACCTCGAATATAATCTGGACCCCAGAAGGTCTGACACAGCCGGGCTCTAATCGGCCTGCTGGCGCCGGACGCGCATACGCTGCTGCGAACGAGGAGGTTCTGTGCTGGGATATAAAGAAAAGCGAGCTCGTGAGCCGGTGGCGAGATAACTCCTGCACTGAAGAAGTCACCTTTATTCGTCGAAGCGACGTGGACACAGATGTCTTTGCCGTTGGCTACGCCGATGGCAGCATACGCATCTGGGATGCGCGAACGTCGACGGTCATCATCACCTTCAACGGCCACAAGTCTGCAGTCACTGCCCTTGCTTTCGACCAGACCGGTGTCCGACTAGCAAGTGGTTCCAAAGATACAGACATCATTATATGGGACCTGGTTTCGGAAACAGGCTTGTTCAAACTAAGAGGACACAAGGGTCAGATTACCGGTTTGCATTTCATCCACCCCGAAGACTCACCCCAAGAGAACGGTACCGACGATGGAGATGTTGACATGGACCCGGACCAGGCGTTCCTGTTGTCTACCAGCAAGGATGCCTTGATCAAGATTTGGGACGTCACTACCCAGCACTGCATCGAAACACACATTGCGCAGACAAATGGCGAATGCTGGGCCTTGGGTGTGTCACCAGACGGTAGTGGATGTATCACAGCAGGCAACGATGGAGAGCTCAAGGTGTGGGCCATTGACCAAGCCGGTTTGCGAAAAGCCGGTTCGAAAATTGGCGAAGCGACAGACCTCGAGTACCTCACCCCAAGAGGCATACTATACCGACAGGGCAAGGATAGAACACAGGGGATCTCATTCTATGCAAAGGCCGACTACATTGCGGTGCATGGTGCAGAAAAGGCTGTCGAGATCTGGCGCATAAAGACCCCAGAAGAGGTCAGGAAGAGCTTGATCAGAAAAAGAAAGAGAAGGAAGGAAAAGGCAAAAAATGAGACAAGGGGAGACGCGCAAGAAGAGGCGGACGCAGATGAAAAGGTTAATGTGGCGGATGCTGAGATTGGTGAAGTATTTGTGCCATATGTGACCGTACGGACGGCCGGAAAGGTGAGGTCAGTTGCTTGGATGCACATCAAAGGATCGAAGAAGTTGCAGCTTCTTGTCGGCACCAACAACAACCTCATCGATGTTTACGAGATTCCGCAAAAGAGCAAGTCGAAGAGCGAGGAAGCCCCCGACTATTCTCGGACATTAGCCGTTGAGCTCTCCGGACATAGGAACGACGTGCGCGCGCTTGCACTCAGCTCGGACGACCGCATGCTAGCATCTGCTTCGAGCGGAGGCCTGAAGATATGGAATGTCAAGACCCAGAATTGTTTGCGCACATTGGAGTGCGGATATGCCCTGTGTTGTGCATTCCTTCCAGGAGACAAGATTGTTGTCGTAGGAACGAAAGATGGCGATATTGAGCTGTATGATATTGCAGCATCGACATTACTCGACAAGATCTCTGCCCACGAAGGAGCTGTGTGGACAATGCAAGTGCATCCCGATGGCAAATCACTCATTACAGGCAGTGCAGACAAATCGGTCAAGTTCTGGAATTTTGACATTATCCAGGAGGAGATACCAGGAACCAAACGTACAACGCCTCGTCTCAAGCTTATCCAGTCCCGTGTTCTCAAGGTCAATGACGACGTTCTAAGCATACATGTATCGCCCGATTCACGATTACTAGCCGTCGCAACCCTCGACAATACGGTCAAAGTCTTCTTTGTAGATTCGCTAAAGCTCTTCCTCAACCTATATGGCCACAAACTCCCCGTCCTCAACATGTCCATCTCCAGTGATAGCAAACTCATCGCTACTTGTTCCGCTGACAAGAATGTGCGTATATGGGGCCTAGACTTTGGAGACTGCCACAAGGCATTGTTCGGTCATGAAGACAGCATCATGCAGACCTCTTTCATCCCGCATCCCGTCGATGGCGATGAACGCCACCTCCTTTTTAGCGCTAGTAAAGACAGGACGATCAAGAGCTGGGACGGCGACAAGTTCCAGCAGATCCAGAAGTTCAAGGGCCACCACGGTGAGATTTGGGCCATGACCGTGGCGCGGACCGGTGACTTTATCGTCACAGCTAGTCACGATAAGAGCATACGTATCTGGACGCGATCAGATGAGCCCATTTTCCTCGAGGAAGAGAGGGAAAGAGAACTGGAAGAAATGTACGAAAAGACACTTGCAACAAATCTCGAAGATGAGGAGGACCCCAACGGTGAACGCGCCGAAGCCGTCGCCGCCAGCAAACAAACCATTACCACTCTCACAGCCGGTGAACGCATTCAAGAAGCCCTAGATCTGGGCATGGTAGACCTGGAGGTTGTTCGTGATTGGGAGATCCAGAAGAAGTCCAACCCTAGGATTGCACCACCGCAGCGCGATCCTCTCTTCCTGGCTCTCGGTAATATATCAGCCGAACGCCATGTCCTCAACACTCTCGCCAAGATTCCCGCAGCACAACTCCACGACGCACTCCTTGTTCTGCCCTTTTCTTCTCTGCCTGCTCTCTTTACCTTTCTCGCTATCTGGGTGCGCAAGCAATGGAACATTACCCTGACGTGCCGGGTTCTCTTTTTCATGCTAAAGACACATCAAAAGCAAATTGTTGCAAGCAGAGAGTTGAAGACTGTAATTGAAGGCATGCGCAACGACCTCCGGAGTACTTTGATGGGTAACAAGGACCTGATCGGGTTCAATGTTGCAGCCATGAGGTTTGTGGGCGAGAGAGTGGATGAGGCACAGTTGGTCAGATGGGAAGACGTGGATAAGCTGGAGGAAGAGAAGAAGAACAGGAAGAAGAGAGGGTTTGTCGATGTAGCATAGAGTCGTCTTTGAAGCATGAGCTAGGGCGGCGTATCGGTCTGGGTTAAAAAATATTGTACCATTGATTGAATTATAGCATGTTGACGAAAGTATACGCCAGTTGTCTTTGTCAACATGGTTTGCAGCATGTTGCTGATTATAGTTTCGACTCGCTACGAGACTCGATAAGTTCTTCTTCCTCTTGCCGTACACCCTGCCACACGTCAGCAACATGCCACAGTTTAGTCAGTCCAATGTCCTCTAATATTGCACCTCTCCCATGACGATAGATCGCATCATAATGATCTTCGTCAACTTCCGTTATTCCATCACCATCAAACACTACGACTTTGCCCTCCTTGACCCACCCCTCGCCATTGGCATACCTGATAAAACGGTCCTGCATTGCCCGCACGATGCTTCTGTTGTGCTCGTCTAGATGCTCTTCAAAGTTATTAAGAAGGTATGCGACATCGAGCTCGTGAGAAGATAAGCCCTTGAACGGGCCATCAATAGGATTGGGAACGTGGAAATGATAACGTGAAGCACGTCTTGGTGGGGAAGCAGTTTTCCAGCCTCGATACGCTGACAGTGCTGCCAAGTGGAAACGCAGGTCGCCGACCAGCTCGAGCAGTCGTTCTGTCTCTTGTTTCTTTGGCAACGGTCTTTCCAGATTATACGCAGCTAGGAGTCTCTGCGTTTCAAATGCCGTGAGGTGTTTTGCACATGCCTGTTTGAGTCGACCCAAGGCATCGGGAGAGTCGAGAACCCTGCCCTTGAGAACAGTCCCATCATGCCCTGTATCTCCTATCACAACCTCTTTACACCAAGAAGGCTTATGCACATCGCTCTTTCCGTCCATGGCCGACTCAATTGTCACTCGGGCTGTGAAAAACTCATCATCAACAGCCATAGTCCAGTGTTGTGCCATTGGCATCTTCTGAGCCAGCTCTTCCGCATCCGTATCAAGCAGTGCTCTCCTTCTGCTCTCGGCATCGCTTCTTTCCAATTTCAAATGCATGGACTGGTCTTCCAGCATCTTCTGCTGCCACCACCTATTCCGCCACTTCCTCACTGTTACATCACCACTCATCAGCACCACTCTCTCAAACAACCCGTCGTCCCCCACATTAGCACAAAGCAGCGTCGAAAGCGATATCCCACCTGCCGACTCTCCCACCGCAGTAACATTATTCGGATCGCCCCCAAACCCCGCAATGTGTCGTTTGATCCACCGAAACGCCTGCAGTTGATCTTTGAACCCCATATTTCCCCGCGATCCAATCTCTTCGCCCGCTAGGAAACCAAACACGTTAACGCGATAGGTTATCCCAACCCCAATCACGGGCTTCCCAATCTCCACGCTACGCTCCACAAACCGCCGCATCTGGTACTGCGGCCAGCTATTCGACCCCATACTCAACCCGCCGCCGTGCACCCATACAAAGACTGGGAATAGGTGCTTGCGCCCTGACGTTATAGCAGCATTGCCAAGACCCGATTTTGGCACCGTGACGTTCAGGTTTAGACATTCGAATTCATCCATTCTCTCTGTGGGACCTTGACCCTGTGCATAATTGAGTTTCGCGTTGCCGACCAGCGTTAGATCCCACGCTTGGGCCCCACGGTGTTGGGGACATGAGGGGCCGAAGTGAGTGTTATCTACCACGCCGTCTGCTCCTGCCTTGAGCGGTTCATCGTTCAGGATGGAATCTTGGTAGCGGGCTGGTATGCGTGCATACTTCAAGTTGAGAAATTCCAGTGTTGACGAGGTGAGTCTGCCGCGGAGGGTTTGTTTCAAGGTGGGATGATATAATTGGTCTGGCGGCGAGGCCATGGCTGTTGCAGGATTGAATGTGAATTTGAAAAGTTTCGGGGAGCTGCCTTGTATTCATGCTGGTGTTTTGTTATATTACGATACATATATTTACTTTGGCATTGCTTTCCCCAGAGTCCTGAATAGAGAAGTGGAGAAGATGTGGGGAGACGTGGGGCTTGAACGCTTGAACCTCGGCAGCGGTAAAGAGGCCATTGGAATTGCTACAAGGACAGAGCTATCTGAGTGCGCTTCATCGGGGTCTTTGTTGGAAGAGAGGAGGAGTATTTGCGCATTGTCGTGGCCGAGCCTACGTAGTTGACGTACTAGAGGATCTACAGTAAAATGTAGATCGGGCAGTTACTTGACGCTAAGCTTAACCATAGCCTCACGAGTTAAATCGACATGGCCAATGACGCCCCTGTGGTTGAGAACATAGCAATCATGGTGTTAGAAGTCTATTGTTTCGGTCGCCCTTGTCATGCGAGCCACTTTACGTTACCCCGACACTACAGAGCACACCAAAACCATGCACGTGACATGGCATCAGCCCACAAAAAAATGTAAAATAGAGTCAAAAAACATACGACAGCGGGTATTCGCTAGTAGTCACCCACCTGACTACTAATCCGCCGATTAACTGCTTAAGTACGGAAGATCAAACGGGTTTCCCTGGGCCAGAAATCTATGGACGTATGTACCATTGTGGCAAAATTAAATGTGTTATGTTTGCATGTAACAGACAGATGTTAGCGGACTTGGTGCTGGGATTTTGGAAATCGACAGCATCACGTGGGCCCTCTCATATGTTAACCATTTAACTTGCGTTCGCTGAAGAGATTGTACATACGTAAATGAGAAATCAACAAGTGGTACATAAACTTCACTTTAGGTAGAGTATTAATCATTCAAGGGGGTGGTTGTAGAGCGTGATCCTCGCTATTACAGACAGGATGAGTGATAGAAGTAAAGTGGATGACGCTCACGTGTCCACGCGTTTATCTTAGCGCGCCTTGAGCCGATGCACCCGCCACTCAGCTGCTGGGGCAAACTCACAGCATAAACCAAACAGCATTGCGACGACGTTCGGTTATGCAGAACGGCTATTCTCATGTTCAGGAATCCTCGAGAGAACCGCACACTGTTAGAGTCGTCAAAATTGGGCCCCTCGACTGGCCGCCCCCCCTCGCCGCCCCGCTCTTCGTCAAGCAACGCAACCATGGCCACTAAAACCGCGACAAAGAAAGCAACGCCCAAACCAAGCACAAACACGCCTCCGCCAAAGAAGAATGTCATCCAGACTACGCTCACACCTGCTGACTTTGCCAAGAAGTCGACTTCTGCGAGCAATGGCAAGAAGCAGAAGCCAGCAGGGACGCCCAACGGCAACATCATGACGTTCTTCAAGAAGGCCGAGGAGATCAACAACCGTATTTTCCTGCAGGAAAGAGGCTCAAATCCAACAGTTGCGCTCGAGGACGATGAGGAAGATATTGGCTGGAGCGACGAGAAGAACAATGGCGTCATGGTCTCGGGCAGCGAGGATCGCTACAATGAGAATGGCGGGAGCATCAAGCGGCGCAAAGTCAGCGAAGAACCAGTAGCCCCGCCTCCAGCCTGTTCGCCGCCTCCACCAGCAGATGCTGAGAGCAACGCTCTGGACGCTCTTGCCGTTCACGCACCCAAACAGGCGTCGAAACCGCGTCAGAGATCAGGACCCTTTGTTGATGATTCGGAATCCGAAGACGACGAAGCGGAGATGCCTGCTACGAGTCCAGGTATGGCTATGCGAAGAATCAATGCGAAGTCACCAATTGCTAAAGAAACCGAGGATCCAACACCCATGGAAAGCATTGAACCTTCAATAGCCCACACACTCTCACCCGAGCCAGAATCCACAATTATCCCCGATGACGAAGAATACGAGGACTACGAAGGTCTCGAGGACGACGATTTGCTTGAAGGTGAAGAATACGATGAAAGGCGTTGGATGAAGGAACAACAGAAGCTGGAGAGGGAAGAGGCGATCTTGGAGGGCGATGCGGGCGATGCAGACGACTCTGAGGCGCCCTTCCTATTCCCCGAAGACGATGCACTGGATATCAAGCAGGAAGCAGAAGAAAGCGATGCCCTTAGTGTACTTTCATGTCCAATATGCGGTAATAATCTCCCTGGATTGTCAGAACAAGATGTGTCTGTCCACGTCAACGCGTGCCTGGACGGCAAGCCACTCCCGCTCCCCACAGCGAAGATGGAACAGGAAAGCAAGCCAACTGCTGCCAGTAGTGCAAAGTTGTTCAAGCAACCCGAGCGACCAGCAAAACCCGGCCAACCAAGCCCATTTCGGCTTGCAAAGCCCAACACTCAGCCAAACTCTGCGTTTTCAAAGCTCATGGCTGGCCATGCCGAAGACGCAGCATGGGCAAGTGCGGCAGTCGAGAACAACAAGTCGCGAGGCAAGCCAGCCTACCAGCGTACCTGCCCATTCTACAAGATAATGCCAGGCTTCTTCATCGCTGTCGATGCTTTTCGCTATGGCGCTGTCAAGGGCCAAAACGCTTATTTTCTTAGCCACTTTCACAGTGATCACTACGTTGGGCTTAGTGCCTCTTGGAAGCACGGCCCCATTTATTGCAGTAAAGTTACAGGCAATCTGGTACGGCAGCAACTTCGGGTTGACCCGAAGTGGGTGGTCGACCTGGATTTTGAGGTGAAGACCGAAGTGCCGGGGACTGGAGGCGTTTTTGTGACGATGATATCAGCAAACCACTGTCCAGGCAGCTCTCTTTTCCTGTTTGAAAAGGAAGCTGGCAAAGATGATAACCAAAAGCTGCAAAGGGTCCTACATTGTGGAGACTTCCGCGCTTGCCAAGCACATGTCGAGCATCCGCTGCTGCGACCGGACGTACTAGACGCTGTCAGTGGAAAGAGTAGACAGCAAAAGCTCGATGCATGCTACCTTGACACTACCTACCTCAACCCAAAGTACGCCTTCCCACCACAACAGCAAGTCATTCAGGTTTGCGCAGACATGTGCGTTAGCCTCAGCAAGGCTCGTGCCGATGAGTCGGACGGATGGGAGAAGATGAAGCGAAAACGTGCCGGGCAAGGTATGGTCAACTTTGTGCAAAAGGACTCTAATCCGGAGAACCCATCGGAACCAAAAAGTCCTGAGCGGGGTCGCCTTCTTGTCGTGGTAGGTACATACAGCATTGGGAAGGAACGCATATGCACGGGCATCGCCAAAGCTTTGAAAAGCAAGATATACGCCCCCGCCAACAAGCAGCGCATCTGCAAGGCCCTCGAAGACCCTGAGCTAGATGCGCTGCTGACTACCGATCCTCGTGCTGCTCAGGTGCATATGACACCACTTTTTGAGATTAGAGCAGAGACGTTGGACGACTATCTACGCGGTTACGCTGATACTTTTTCACGTGTTGTTGGGTTTAGACCTTCTGGCTGGAACTATCGTCCACCTCAAGGCCGCTTTACCGAATCGCCTCAGGTGCAGACTGTCCTACATTCGGACAACTGGAAGAGCACCTTTGCCATGAAAGACCTAAAGCCGCAAGCGGGTAGCGGAAGTCGGGCAAGTTGCTTCGGGGTGCCCTACAGTGAGCATAGCAGCTTCAGGGAGCTGACCATGTTCTGTTGCGCACTAAGAATCGACAAGATAATACCGACAGTCAATGTGGGAAGCGCGAGTAGCAGGGAGAAGATGAAGGTGTGGTGTGAGAGGTGGGCTGCTGATAAGAAGAAGAATGGTCTATTCAAGCTGCGTGAGAATGGCGAGGGATGGTAGACTTGAGTTGCTCGTATTTTTTTCGAGTGGGCAGATCTATAGTCAAGCTCAGGAATGCGAACCTTGGCCTGCATTTGCCGATCGCACCACACCAACGTCTTGATCATGTTTGAGGGCTTACATGGTGGTACTCGCCGATTTCTTAATGTGTGCATTGCATTACCACCATAATCCATGTTCGTGCGGTCATGACTTTAAGACATAACTATAGTACGATACCAAGACCTGCATGTTTACGTATCCCGCATCCGCCACGGAATACTGGCAACGAATCAATCTTGTGATTGTGTGTTCCGACACCATATGCTCACCGAAAGCTTTCTAGTGTAGATCAGCTATCTACGTTGCTCATGTCAGTAATGCACACAAAGTTTCGGTACTACACAACTGGAATCGGACCTTCTACGTATTCCTCTCCCTCCAAACCCTCAACCCCTCCCCATCTGTTTGAAAGACGAACTCCGAAAATAGCAATTTTGGTAGATCCATAGCACCTCCGCTCAAAGTTTGACACTGTTTGACGTCTGCCAAACCCTCGCAACCGACATGGCCCGAGCGCTATTTCATGATCCTTGAGTGTTTCAACGCGTATTGGAACATGACTTGTTGAACAAACAGCAGTGATGGAAGAATACGCCAAGAGAATACAATTGGAACAAGGCCAATCGAACTTCGCCAGCTTTACACACTGATTATGTCGCGGCCATGTGGGCTGAGAGTCCCGTTGGCAGAACAAAAAAAAAAGGGCTGACGCGTCTTCGCAGTAAAGAGGCTGAACGCCCCTTCACGTGCGTGACAGTGGGGCACACACACACATATTCCACCCAAGGATTGTCCGCTTCCCGTTTTAAGCATGCGCGAGTCAGTATATCAATAACTTTTTTGGGGCGTGTTACCCGGTCCCAATATGTATATTTCCCAATTCACGATAATGTTGATATTCCGTTGTTCCATCGTTCCCTATTTGGACCTTTGTTGGTTGGGTTCAGGGGGTGATCCGTCTTCTTTCTCACTGGCTGCTGACTAGTTAGTCTAGACAACATTCAAACGTCAAACTGCAGCAGGCGGTCTCGTATCTAAAAAAAGAAACATAGTTGGCAAGGTCAGACTGGGAAAACCTGGGGTGCTGGTGGTTGGCGGTGGTAATGTTCGGATGGGACACGGAGCTGAACGCTTTTTGTTTTTTTGCTTCTTTACTTTTCTTCTTTCATGTAAGGGCCCGTTCCTTACTTTGCTGCAACCTCATCTTCTTCTTTTTGTTCTTTGCAAGATTCTCACTTTTGCGACTATGACGAAGCCTAGACGCGATGACCTTTTTTTGCTCTTCTTTCGTGTAATGTACCTTTCTATTTTCACGGGATATACTTGCTTTACGATTTTGGGGTTCGGGGCTATCGGGGCGCCGATCGGGATGGTGGCGACAGTCGTGGTGGCCGTGGGGTCGGAGATTGCGTTTGTGCTTGCGAAGAGGGATGAAGCTGAGATGATGATGCAGGAGCGGTATACAGTTTGAGGATGAGATGAATTCTGAAGGCTGAGAAAACAGAGTGATGCGTGGGTAGAGGAAAATGTGTGGAACGGAAGAGGGGGTGATACGGGATTCCACTTACGGCAGTCACTGATGCGGGGGTGAGGACTGCGTTCCTTCCCTGAGACTGTGGCGCTTCAACTATGACCGACGTCATGACTACGATACCATCTCGACTATCGTTCCGAACGGCTCGCTTGGATGCAGTGTGGCCCACTGCAGAAGGATACCACGAAGGCCTTAGGCTGAAACCATCATTACTGAATGCGTCTGGGAGAGCAACAGGCCGTATCGATTCACTGCTCCTGCCACCAACGACGTCAATACCTACACAAGACAGATACATCTACACGCCATCAGTCGGGAAAATTTGACTGGAGACCACGAACCGAACTAGAACGATACATTCCCATCTCCATACGTTCGCCCGGCTTGCGAACACGGCCGACGAATCTCCTATGGTTACGTCGACACATACAGAGAGAACAGGAGCATGGTACGATCGCAGGTCGCTTCTCATGCATCGGTACGCAGAGACACCGACCCAGGCACACTGCGGGGCTACAGATGCTCCTGGCAACAAACACGAGCAAGCAACCTTGCTGCAGCAAAAGAGGATTTGATAATGGATAATGGCTCGCTCACAACACGCATGCAGTGAGCTTGCGGAAGAGAATATACAAGAGAAAAGAGAGAAGGGGTAGGGATATACATCTTAAACGGTGAAAAAGGAAGGGAAATGGGACATCGTATACATGCCAGCACTGGCGTAATTTCCAATGTTTAGTTCATAATTCTTTTACGAAGAGTAATTTCCACACGGAGTAACTTGGTAGCGCTTGTTTTGAATATGTGTAGTAGTTTCAAATAATCGATGCGGTAATAATCTGAAGAGCAAATACACCTTAGTCGATATCAACGGGGATTGAAAAAAGTGAAAACGAAAAACGGATTTTTCTATTGTTCAACAATTCGTGCTCAGATGAAGCATGTGCCCGCCACATGATAAGTCTAGTGTACATGAGTTTAAGGGATGGATTACATGTGAACCATGTAGTGCCTGGTTCAAGGTACTTTTCTAATATGGTGTGTTTGACCACCCTGGTGGTGTAAACCCTGAACTATGTTTCCGTCGTGAATAGCTGTAAACAAGTCTCTTCTAAAAGCCAAGCATCTGGCAGTGGGTTGGTGGAAATTTGCCAAATGCAGAGTTGTGCGGTGTCAAGAGGCAGATATACCGGCCAGCACCAACCGTCCGAATCACAAAGCCAAGAAATCCCAAGATCTCATCCTTCCTTGCTCCTTACAAAATCTTCAACCTTCTTTTTTTTTCATTCTCGATCGAGTCTTCTGGAGTCCACATGAGGCGTCTGATATACTTCCGGTGTCCGGCTACATAGTCGTCGATGGAAAGATGCTTGATATTTGGAAAAAAAAAATTCATGAAATCTTTTACAAACTCCTTCATTGTAGGATCTGTAGTAGCGGTATGACACACGCGGATGGAAGTGATGAGGCGCAGTTTCCCGGGTGTGCTGCGACTGGCGAAGAGATCAACCATGGTCTATGCACTCAACAACACTCAGCTTCAACTGCAAGTACACTCTTGAAGTTTCTTCATGTATCTGGCGACACGCACCGAGAAGACGCTTCCCCAAAGAAACTCGAATCACTTTGTTGTTATCTGTGGAATGTACGTATTCTCTTAATGACCCCCCTGAATTCCCCGTGTATCGAGATCAAGTGGTTGCTCATTACATTATCCCAGATCTTGTTGCGTATCTCGCCTGGGAGAAGGAGAAGCGGCGGTTCAATCGCGTTGCGTTTGGAGCTAATGAGAGTTAGTTTCTCACAGGACCTTCATTCCATATCGCACCCACGTCTGCGTCAATCTGGAGCGCTCATCAATTCCGGTCTTAGAAAGCTCGTTTTTGAGCTTCAGACTAGAACCAAAGGGCTTCGGGGTCCTGCGTCGCTGTTTGATAACTCTAACGCATCAGTCAGCAATTTTGTAGTGGTCAACCAATAGGGAAAGAGCACAGTACTTTGGAAAATTCATTTTTGACTTGTCGTGTCAGCGTTCGTGGCAAGAGCTGCAAGGTCAAGAGAGTCTTTTATATTCGAGTACACTGTAAGCGAGAGATAACCAAGTATGTGCGACTCGTGAGTGAATCAGGGTGAAAGGCCTCTAACTTTGGTATGAGGGCTTGCTTTCATTGGCCGCGCTAATTAGAAAAGTGAAAGCGAACCTATTCGATTGATGAATGTGTGATTGGACGTCCAGCAACAGAGCAAATAGGCAGAATATTGTGGTAGGATGAATTACTGAAAGGAGCCGGTAAATAAGAGATGAACAGTCACTCGCGCGACCGTTCAACATCTACTCACTGACGTCAGAAAAGGGTCGGAAAAGAAGATTCACCGGAACAACCCGTGAATTTGTATTACATAGGAGAAAGCGTAAAAAAGAAACAAGTACAAAGGTATCTTTCCCCTAGAACAAAGCAATGTGTGTGTATCCTTGAATGATCAAACAGTAACGCAAATGAAGACACCACATCACCTTGGAGATGCGTCCTCAATTCTCAAAAGCCATAATTCAGACTTGATGACTTTCCCATAGCACCAATCGATTGAAAACCTGTTCATTCCTCCAATCTCATCGCACAATGTATCGAGATGTCATCTAGCAGCAATCTGCGCAACATTCGCAGCAGTCAAGACAGCATTCGCAGCTCTCCTCGCACAGGAAACAACAGCACAGGGTGGCCAGACTATTATCCAAATTAGCATTTGAAGACAGAATAGCAATTTAAATCCTCGTGTCTTCGTTTCTTTCTCTCTTTCTCTCTCCCTCTGACAGTGTACGCGGAAAATGAAGAAAAGAAGAATGAGCAACATACCAAGCAGCCAAACATCCCCTGTCCTTCTTCTGAGGTGGTGGGGCCTGGCCCTGCGGAGGTCCGTACATCATTTGTTGTGGAGGTGGAGGGCCGTAGTTGGCGCCTTGAGGAGGGCCATAGCTATTTTGAAGAAAAAAAGTCAGCGCAATTGCTCTTCTGGGTAATTCGTCTTTTCTAACGATGCTTCATAAAGGGGATTTCCCAAATAACAAGCACCGTGAGAAGGGGGCTGTCAAACGTACCTTTGCTGGGGGTACTGAGGAGCGCCTTGGTAGTATCCTTGGTTGGACATTGTTGCGTCGTGCGTCTGGAGATGAAAAATGTGTGATTTCTCAGATTCTCAAAACTCGGTCGTGTTGAGGTTGTTTGTGGACAATCCCGAGGTTTCCGCGGCTGCTTATTATATGCTTACGAGAGCAGGGGCGTTTTGATCGCTACGAGGGTCGCGCAGAGGAGAAAGCTGACGTGTAAGAGCTGCCGGCAGTTGATTGTTGCGCCAAGTTTGTTTGGATGAGATTGGGGGTTGGAAGTGGGGACAGACAAGCGTGAGTGAGGAAGGAAGGAAAGTGCGATGGGGAAGAAGAAGGAGAGGAGGAAAGAAGATTATAGCTAAGAAGCCGCCGCGCCCAGAAGAGGGGAAAGACAAAGCTAATGCTTACCACAAACATGGCCTAGTCACTATAACCCCATCCATCTCACGCGCACGCAGCACAGCGGCGCTGCGACGCAACATCCGGCCCCTGGGGCATAAGCCACACCGCTACGTGCGCTGCTATTGGCGCAAAACTGGCCGAGACTCGTCATCGCCACAAGCTCCACCCATGCTTCACCCATGCTTCACCCATCTGTCATTGTGCGCCTTTTTACTCATTGGGCCCACACAACAAGGCGCGGCTGCGCTGCGCCTCTTTCTTTCTGTTTGAGCTTGTGGCTACGTCGTACATACGTGGTAGTAGTGGAGACACGTACATGTAGACTTACAGCAGCACCAGAAGATGTTTTTCCCTTGCGAAGCCTGACCGAAATCAACTAGAGAGATGCGCGTTCGCCGCCTGGACCACGCAACCCCCTTATACGTAGGTTTGTTATGTCACATCGGTAAGACGCAGTCGCGTGAGATGCCGTGAGATGGGCTGTCGAGGAATGCGCCAAACTAAGCTTTACTTGGCGAAGGCTTGGTGCCCAAGTCTCATCCTGGTCTCACCTACACCCCCACCCCATCCCGAACAACAACTCTAATTTGAACGGTATTGGGCTGGAACACTTTGATGTAGAGTACGTATTCGTTGCCTTTCTCCTTTGCTCAATCGTCATGGCAGAAAGCGTTTAGCTGTAGCTCTTATCAACCTTTGTAATTTCCATTATCCATCCTAGCTGTACATTTTCCCACGGTTTCCCTTTGCTCACCCACCATCCCCATCCCATGCGCCACTCCTCTTCCACCCGCATCCTCAATCAATTGCCCAGATGCGCGCAGAGAACTTTAACAATTACTTCCCAAGGAGGCATGGGCATGCTAATATGCGCTATGTAAAGAAATAAAAAAAAAGTAAACTCAAAATATGCGGTGGGTCCCTCCTGCGCCAGAGCAGAATCCATCCAACTCTTTCCAAACCGCAACCACGCCCCACTATAGCAAAATTATGTACAAGTACACGTAGAGGTAGAATGATTAATTGTATGAACCTTCATCTAAGCAAACAGGGCAGGAGATGAAAGGAGGCGCTGATACATCCATGCCAATAGCACACCAACAAGCTTAAAAGCCAAAGGGGTTCTGAGGAGCTAGTTAATAGTTAGCAACACGAACATCAATCCTCAAATGCAACCACTTACTAGCATTGGCGAGGTTCGCCCGCCCCGTTGGCTGAGCCGTCAGCTTCTTCGCAGGCTGAACACCAAACTTGATGCTTGGGGGCGGTCCAGTCTTTTGCGGCACTAGAGGCTGTGCCTGCGGCATAGGCGGCATAGGCGGCATCGGAGGTACTGGTGGTGGGCTCTGACCAAAGCCTGTCGGCTGCGGCACAATTGCCGGAGGCAAGAAACGGTTTACGCCAGTCGCTTGCGGGTTAAGCGGTGCTGGCTGGAACGAATTGTATCCAGTCGGCTGGGCCTGCAGTGGTTGGAAGGGTGCCATTGGGGGATCCGCGAACGGACTGCCGTTACCAAACCCTTGGGTGAAGTGCGGTGACTGCTGATAGCCCGTCGCCATTGGTTGTTGGAACCCTGTAGGCTGAGGCTGCTGGAATGGCGCAAACCCAGTTTGCATGGGCTGTTGTGGCGCTGCCGGCGACATAGAATTGAATCCCGTTGGTTGCGCCATCATGCCGTTCTGCTGGAACCCGTATGTTCCATTTTGTTGGGGGAACCCAGTCATCTGCGGCTGCATGCCTTGCATTCCCTGCATTCCCTGCCCCTGCCCGACGTTTGGAGCCATCATGTTGGGGTTGTAGCCAGTAAGCTGAGGCTGCAGAGGTGGTGGCGGACCAAATGCACTCTGTTGCGGGTTCTGTGGAGCTGAAGCTGCACGTGGCGGTGGTGGAGCAAGCAGACCACCAGTGTTCTGCTGCTGAGGAGCCTGTGGACGCATGCGTGGCGGTGCCATGTTCTGAGGTTGAGTCAAAGCCTTGATAGCTGCAACCTGCTCGAACAGAGTTGGAGTAGCTCCTGTCTGTTGAGGCTGCTGCTGTGGAGCAGGCGCAGGTGCAGCTTGTGGAGCAGGCGCAGGTGCAGGAGGGGTTGGCTGAGCAATCTCCTCGGGTTTGAGGGCGGGCATATCCAAGAGGGACAGCTCGCCCATGGCTCCAGTCAACTGAGGTGGCTTCGCAGCAGGTGCAGATTGCGCTGGAGGTGGAGATGCAGACTTTTCTGGGGAAGAAGCAGGTGCCGACTTTGATGGCTTGACATCCCAGGCATTGTCGTCGAATCCGTTCGCCTTGGCGTCCGATGCACCTACAGAAGTTGCAGCACTCTCTGCTGGCTTCTTTCCAGCATCATCAGACTTCGGCTCGAATGCCTTTGGATCCACCACATCGTTGGTCTCCACAGGAGGTGCAGGACGTCCCTTGCGCGTGTTGTTGCGAAGCGCACCTCCGGGTCCAGAGAAAAGTCCACCAGACGCTCCCTCTCCATTGTCTTCTGCAGAGCCAGCATTTCGCTTGTCGCGCCCAAAATGGGCGTCTACGTACTTGGATACACGGAGAATATCGCCCTCTTTGAGACCCAAAGTACGCAGAAGCGACGGCGTGATGTCTGGGATATTCTCCTCGGTCATTTCGTCCTTTACAAATGCCCGAGCATAACGTTCACATATTTGCGGATTGACACCGCACTTGAGGAAGAAGTCGAACCAGTCGTACTCGGGCTTCTTCTCAACCGACAACCCGGTCGGAGAACGTCCGTCTTTCGACCGCTGCTGCAGCATGGTCTTTCTCTTCAAGTCAGACAAAGGCTTGTCGTCATCCAGAGATTCGCCTGTGACGCGCTCAACATATTCGAGATCTTCGACAGACATTTTTGTGACCGGTACAGCAATCTTCACACCATTGACCTTGTGCAAGTGAATCTTGCCATCCTTGATAAGAATAAACTCTGCTTCAACCTTGAACGAGCCAGATCGGTCGGTCCAGGTGCGTACTTTGGCGGGGTCTAGCACATATTGGTTAGTATTAAACACACCTTAACACGTTACAGGTCCATTGAGGAATACGCCCACAGGCAAATGCGTCAGGGCATTTCGCACCGCTGAGAATTCAGCCGTTGGTATGACAATGTACTCACTTGGCTTGGACGAGGACTTCGAGCTCGAGTCTTTCGAGGAGGTTTCGCGCTTGCTTGTTCTCTGTGAGGCACGACGCTGGTCAATATTTGTTTGCAAAAGGCTAGAGTTACGCGAAGGCAAGTGCAGGCCAGGGCCTACCTGATCGTTCCTCGCCTCACTTTCTGGCCTCTTCTGTCTCGCGGCCCGGCGAGCCAACTCCTCTTCTTCCCGCCTGTTCTGTTCGACTATAGACCGGCCAGCATTGGTCCCGGAACGAGCCACCGAGGCAGCAGTAGCAGGTATGGGGAGAGTTTCTGTAATCTCGACATAGTTAGCTGGCACAACACCCTCCTTGCCGTTCTTCAGCCGCCTGACTTTCCACCACTCATCACTAGCTGAATCGTCGAGTACCAGAATCTCGTCACCAAGGCCAACAGTCACCTCATCGTCACCCTGTGCCATAAAGTCGAATAACATGACTCCCTTTTTCTGTACGTTCGAGTGCCCGGAACCAGCAGCAAGCACTTCCCGCAGTCCCGCACTCTTTGCAGCTCCTGCAAGCTCACCAAGAGCCATCATGATTTCTGACGCAGTGTCCTTGGCTCCGCAGTGGAAGTCGATGCTTTTACTCGGCTGCTTGAGCTCCATGAAGATGTGCTTGCCCTCTTGCGAATAGTACTCCATCTTTTCAGCACTCCATTCTTGTTGCGGCCCGTCGCGTGACTTTTCTGGTGCAATCATGATCATGCCCTTGGGGATGTTGACACCCAGTGTCATGGGCATCTTCTTGTTCTTGCCCGGCTGCGTAATGTATTCGTAAATGTTGTAGAGACGGTATCCTGAAGCCGACCTCGGAGTGGTTGGCTGCTCGTCCCTGCTTGGCCGATCATATTTGTCGAACGTGTCACTTCGAGGGGGAGGTGACCTGGCCGGGGGTGACGGGGATCGCGGTGTCGCATATTGGGTAGGTACATGAGAGGCTGCTTCGGATACTCGCCGTTGAGGAAGACTGGGTGGTGGCGCTTCGTCGTCAGATTCTTCAGGCGTGAATTGCACGCGTCGTCGCTGAGGCGCGCTGACGTTGGGTGGGGGCGAAATGGTCGATCGCGGCGCTGTTTCCTGAGACTTCTTTTGTATGATACCAGCGATCGCAGCAGCAGTGCTTGGTTGCGCGGGGCTATCTGGGGTAGGCGGCTGGGAGTCGTCAAAGGAGTCGGTAGCTGGAGGCATTGGTGGGCGACTTGGTGCCGCCGGAGACGATGCAGCTGGCGCGGCTGAGGCAGCTTTGCCCTTGATGAGCTCAATGTAGTTGGCTGGTGCAAAGCCATAGTCGCTTTCCACGCCCACTAACGTCCAATCTGGATCTGTGGTGTCGTAGACATCAAGAAGGGCGTCTTCCTTGAACGACAGCTCCTCATCCGTCTGGCGGTCGTAGTCAAAGAGGGCTTTGGCTTGCGCAATGGGGGCGGCCTGTACACGTAGTCAGTTGTGTGGTCATAGAATACATCTGCGAGACAAGTAGTGGCGTTGTCGTGGACGTGTGCCTAAAGCCACGCCAAGCCGAGGTGCCCATTGGGTACCAAATACACGACTCACCTCTTCAATGTAGTTGTTTGGGATCAAGCCCTCGGGCTCCTCCTCGTCTTCTTCGCGTCCTTTTTTCTTGGCCTTCCACCAGTCGTCGTCGGTGGACTTCTCCAGGACCATCAAAATGTCGCCCTCAGTCAAGGCAATCTCATTGCTACTTTGGGGCTCATAGTCGTAGAGGGCACGGTATATGCCCAGGAA